TAAGGAAGAAAAGGAAAAGCAAAAGATAATTTTTTTTTAGTTAAGCAAGGTATTTTTTTTCCGAACAAAGCCGCGGATTGTTCACGCCCGACTAAGACATCATTGGTCAAGTGGTGATCACGTGACGCACGAAGGAAGAGGAAAGATACCCGACCAAGACCTCATTGGCCGAGACTGATCACGTGACGCACGAAGAAGGCTGTCGACGCCCCCATCCAGAGTGTAAGTATGAGAAGCTGCTACAAAGAAGTGGGGAGGGCAGTTCACGCCCCTCAGAAGTATGGTGAGAAAGTGGGAGTGAAAAAAAGTTACCAAAAATGGAAAAGAGTGGAAAATCCCTAGCCAGAAATAAAAGAGGTGGATATGTATTTAGAATTATCGAGGAACCCCCCGGACGCCAACAGACCCACCCCGGTTTTGGTCGGCGTCAATAAAAGCCAGGCCCCAACAGGCAGAAATCAGTTCGGGCCCTGGCGGCAGAGATGAGTGTCCAGAAACTTCGAGCCCTGGCGGCAGAGATGAGTGTCCAGAGAGTTCGAGCTCCAGTTTCCAGAGTTGAAGCCGCCTCGAGATAGCTGACCAAGATTCACGAAAAATTCCAGACTCCTCTTCAACCAAGAACAATTATTTTGAAGAGCGACTTAGGACCAGACCACCGAAATAAGTTTTTTTTCGACTTTCGTCCAAAGACACACCTAAACACAAATTTCTTAGAGAGCAAACAACTTGAAGCGTTAAAACTTGCCTAGCGAAAACGACGTGTCACAATCCACAGAACGGGTCGGGAGATAGATGCAGTCCTATGTATCGAACAACTAGACATAAAGTTTGTTACCTTTTTTTTCTTTGATACTTTGAACTTTTTGAGTTTTCATTTTATTTACTTTTATGCATATTTGTGTGTTATCACCCCCGTTGAACTCAATTTGCATTACGGCCCCAACCACTGTTTGATCTCGTCTATCTAAGATCAATTCACAACGTGGGTAGGCAGACTGGAGATCAATGCAGTTGCCTTGGTAACCAGGCGTTGGCAGTGAGTTGGGAACGACGAGGCTGATATCAAATCTAACCAGATTCCCACCCGAATCACCAAAAGGTTAGAACGTCACATTTGGGTGCCGCGACCGATACCTAGACAGTTGGTCGTCACAGGACGAGACAACACGACTGACGCGACAGGCGGACGTCACGTTTGGAGCAGCGACACCCGGACGGAGCAGCGAGGAGCGAACAGCTGGCGCCGTGGCGAAGACGTCACAAGTGGTGCTGTTTGAGGACGTCACAACTGGCGCCGTGGTAGATCAGGATAGAACGTCACAGTTGGCGCTGCGACCGGGGGACGACGTCACATCTGGTGCCGTGACCATAGGATCGGACCCTGGAACGGCCACGTCACACACTCGTCTATAAGTAAATACACACACAGTCGTTTATAAGTAAATAATATACATACAGTTGTGTATAAGTAAATATACATACATTCGTGCATAAGTAAATAACCATACATTCGTGTATAAGTAAATAAATACACGTACACTCGTGTATAAGTAAATACACAAACACTCGTGTATAAGTAAATACACATACAGTCGTATATAAGTAAATAATACATATACACTTGTGTATAAGCAAATACACATACACTCGTGTATGAGTAAATAAATACACGTACACGTGTGTATAAATAAATACACATACACTCGTTTATAAATAAATACACATATAGTCGTCTATAAGCAATTAATACACATACACTTGTGTATAAGCAAATACACGTACACCCGTGTATAAGTAAATAAATACGCGTACACTTGTGTATAAGTAAATATATACACTCGTGTATAAGTAAATACATATACAGTCGTCTATAAGTAAATAATACAGATACACTTGTGTATAAGTAAATAAATACACGTACACTTGTGTAAAAGTAAATACACATACACTCGTGTATAAGTAAATACCCATACAGTCGTCTATAAGTAAATAAGAGATGAGTATCAAAGTTATTCAAATTTTCACCATTAAATGCTAAAAAAGATTTTCATTTTTATTTTTCCTTTTGCTTCTTCTCATTTTTCGAAGCTCAACTCAAATAAGTGGGTGAGTCTAACAACGCAAGAGATATATGTTTTCTTTATTTTTATTTGGTTTGCGATTTTGGCCAGCAGTGTATTCTTAATTGCCGCATAATTACTATTTAGGGTGATATAGTTGGTTCCGCAGAACAAAAAATTACTTATCACTCAACCTAATAATTTACCTAAATTCAAAGATATGGCACAGAACAGTTTGAAGCAGAAAGAATTCTTTTATAAATTAACTGTCATACATTCATTTTGTCTCCAATTTGGGGTTAAACGAGAGCAAACTAGATTGCCTTACTTTGATTTGCAGTCAGACAAGAAAAAATAACTAAATTCAAACCTGTGTCGTGAAGTGCGATAAATGTTGGTTAGTTGTTTAGCGACGTTTCAACATCTATATGGGTTATTTTATGCTGAAATTTATATATTTTGTACGCAGTTTTACTTATTTCGGGTGGGGAGATAATAATGGTTTAAGTAATACAAGTTTTACTAATTAACCTATAGCTGGGGGAGAAGATATGAAATCATACCTTTCCAAAGGGCATTTGCGCGTAAATAATTATAACGAACCCAACCGTAGCTGGAACTCAGCTCTCCGATGAACATTATCCATTACACCACCCGCACATCCAAACTTACAGCACCTGGTATTCCCAAGCGGTCACCCATGCTCGATGTTGCTTAACTGCGGTGATCGTACGGGAAACGGCGTTTCAATGTGATGTGGCCGTCGGATAAAGACTTCTCTTCTACTGAAGCTTCATCATACCATTCGCTGCAACTAACCCACCACTATTCCATCGTCGACTTCACCTTCTTCCTAGATCGTGGATCGAATATCGATAGATACTGGACTTGTCCCACTCCTTTCTCGCCTAATCATCCACTCACACAGCGGCCACTTTCTCTTCACTTCCGAAGGATAGTGTTTTAAACAAAACGGATCGCGTGGACATGTTTAAAAAGATCCAGACACAATACGGTTGCAAACCGCCTGAATGCGGATAGAAAATGAATTCAGTAAATACGCACAAATGGAAAGGGGTGTAAGACAAGGTTATGTCTTATCACCGGATTTATTCAACCTTAACAGTGAGGCAATCCAGGGAGAATTAGAATTCCTACCGTGATCCATTATTGGAGGACACAATCTTAACACAAGATATGCAGATGACACAGTGTTGACAGCAGACACAAAAAGGAAACCGCAGTAACTCCTACAGAAAATAGTAAAGGAAAGCGGGAAAAAGGGTCTAAAATATCAACTGTAAGAAGACAGTGGCCAAGCAAAAGGAAGCGATCAAAATGCTAACTACAAATTAGAAACACAAAATCAAGCAAGTACAAAAATGTAACCTTTTGAGCCCTGCATCCCGGAGCAATTTTAACCCTTTTCCCTGAGCTTCTGAGTCAAAACTCGCAAATAATTGATATCTAATGTTTCACAGTAGACATAAAAATAATTACAAAAAATATGTTTTATTTTTCTCGCACGTTTTGCCCCTGATCTTTTTTATCCAAAACACATGCACAAAAAAACGATGAAAAAGCGCGAATATGTTGGTATAACGTTCGATGACAATATTACAGCTTTTCTGATTGGCTCTTCAAAATAAGACAACCAACAGCAAAACACGACGCAAGTATTTACCCACCGTTCAACCGGTGGCTGGGCATTTAGTCATTTTCTCTACCACTGTTCAACCGGAGCTGGGCATAATACATTTTTCCCTACCACCGGTAAAGCGGTGATTAGGGCTCAAAGGATTAAATATCTAGGAAGTGGTTTAACTGAAGACAGAAATGAGATACCAATATTCGAAGACGCATTGAAATAGAGAAGTATACCTTCCGAAAGCTAAGCAAAGTATTAAGAAACAGGACAATTTCGTGAGAAACAAAGAATACTGAACTCTTATCGGTCCTCCTGTATGGTGAATAGAGAACATTCTTATCACCGACGAAGTAGGGTCTTGAGGCAGTAGAAATGCGTTTGTACAGAAGGATACTGAGAATACCGTAGAATGCACATGTGGGCAACGACTAAGTGTTGCAGAAAATGGAAACACTCATAAATGGAATCAGAAAGAACCGGTTGAGATTTTTAAGGCACATAATGAGGAAAGAGGACTTGGAGAATTTGATACTCTCAGAACATACTGAAAGCAGCGAATAACGTACCTAACAAAATTGTCTGAATGGAACAGGGAGAGAGAGAAAAATGACAAGCCTAACTAAAAGCTACGTCCTACCGAAGCATTTCAAGTTATTTAAAGCCAGGAAATATTTTTTAGATTGTAAGAATTTTTTTTTAGTTAATAATGATTTAGGGATACATTTTTTCACTAATTAACCCATAGTAGTAGTAGTAGTTTGCGGCCACAGCCGAGATTGAACTCACCAATACTTTGATTGGTGTAGTTCATAATCTTGTCAAATAGCTGAATTCTTGATGCTTCGCTAGGGCTATCAAGGGTGTTTTTATCGTGACATCATCAGTAAATGGATTGCCAACCAAGACTCAGAGAGACTCCATTCACCCTCCTCTAAGAGCAGGTTTGAATTCAGAGTTTTCCTTCTCCTAGACCAATTGCCATCCAAGGCTATAGAACCCAGTCTGTCCTGCTATTTACCCATAGCTGGAGGGAGAAGAAAGTGGATTCACACCTTTCCCAAAGGTGTTAGCACGTAAGTGAATGTAATGGATTCGACTGGAATTCGAACTCGGCTCTCCGATTCCTCAATCCAAGCCGCTATCCATTACTCCACCGTGGAGGCAAAAAAGGGGATTCATACCAAGGGTATTTGGACGTAAGTGTAGATAACGACCCCAACTCGAATTGGAACTCGGATCTCCGATTAACAATTCCAATTCATTAATCATTTCACCCACCACGCACGTCAAAGCTTACAGCACTGATATTCCCAAGCGGTCAGCCATCTAAGTACTGACCAGAGTCGGCTTTGCTTAACTTCGGTGATCGTACAGCAACCGGTGTTTCAGTATGATGTGTCCGTAAACCACTACAAAAACAGGAAGTTGTTAAGGGCCATGACCGTTCACGTCATTAAGGGACACGGGCACATGAAAAGAACGTTCTAAAAAGAGAAAACTTCATTGACCAATGCCGGTATCTATGTTTTATTTAATTGTAGATGGAGATGGCAATATGTTTGTAATAAAATTTACTTCTAGTAGCAGATCGATAATAGATATCATCAATCGAAAGTAATTGTTATGGGGGACCTTCCTCTAAGCCAGGCTACAGCAGCTATACCTGCGAGTTAATTATAATGATGCAATGCTGTATTATAACACGAAGATATATAATATCGCATTGTGCGATTATTTTCATTGCGACGGGGAAATTGCTCTTGGCTAACTTCTTTTGTGGCAATATGTCTAGCGGCAATTCGCCCGGGGTTTGGAGTCAGCTATTTATGATAGATTCTAAAATAACACGAATTAAAAATCAAATTATAATCGAGAAAATCTCTATATTTTTTAAAGTTTTATTCTGCTTCTTCTTTTTAGTATTTATTCATCTTTACAGTTAGAACGATAAATAGCGTTACATTATACAGACACTGGAAATTAAATCGTGCGTTTTGAAAAATTGACGCACCAACATGGCTCCGTGCGATCGATAATATTGAGAAATATCGATATGGGGCAATGTTTTACAGTGTGATATTTATGATTGAGTTACAGCACATTTAAATTCTGACTTAACAATAGAAAATGTTTCTTCTATTCTGATTGACGAGCTTTTAATTTTGTTATGTAGATTTTCATCCTAATCTAACGAAAGAATACACAGTTTCTCGTAGTCTTCAAATCAGTCACTTTTAAGGATACCGATTTTTTCGCATACCCGAATATAAGCTCCATAGGACAATTAGGTTAATAAGCCGTATAACTGTAGCTGTTTACTAGTATGTTTCGGTAGAAATAAGTCACTATTATGTCGCGGGTTTAGACATTTTATATTAAATATTTATGGACTCTTGGATTTGATTGTGATATAATGGAATATGCGTACAACTGTGTTCCCCCTCACTGGAATATGATTGGCTGGTGTCCGTCATAAATACCGACGGACGTGTAGGAGAGTCAGAGAACTAAGTCTATAACGACGCCCATTGAACTACGCCATTGATCTACACTTCTTACCTGCGACTACGAAGCGTACCAGTCGATTACTGCTACCTTATTCTACTTGGTTATAGTAGTCAAAACCACTTAGCTACTTCGTTCAAATATATCCCTTTCCGGAACATATCAGATTGCTTCTTCAATTGTCTTCATTCTGATGCATACTACTGCCCATTAATAGTTTTTCCATTTTCCAGTCTATTATGACTACACCTTTAGAATAAAAAAAAAAACAGACGCCATCATCTTGCCAACAGATTCTACCTGCTTGAACTTGTTCGGGGGTGAAGAACCAAGGTGCTTCCAGTTTGCTTTGAATCTTTGATTCAGGTTCAAAAGTGGTGAAATGCCAAACCTTTTTAGCTTCTCTTCTGGTGTCAGCATTCTTGCAGACAGCTTGCTCATCCCCAAGATCTCAATTAAAATATTATGGACCAAACCAGAAATAATGCATGTGGGCTTAGATGTCTTACTGTCTAGCAGTCATCCTAAATCATATGGTGAATGACATCAATTTGTTCATCAGTAGTTGAGGCTTTTGGATGACATCACTGAGGGTCATCTTCCCAACTGTCCCTTCCACACGTAAATTCTGCAACCAACTTCTTCACAGTTGTATAGGAAGTGGAGTCGTCAGTAAGTGTCTGTACCACGTCCTTATGGATTTTCTTGGGTGTCATACCTTTTTTGCAGATACTCTTGGGATATTTATCTCGCTAAGAATATATTCATGTGAGTCCAGGTAAAATTAAGTTCACAAAAACAATGTGTTTAAAACAAAAAATGCAGGTTATTAACAAAAGGAATTAAATGTGTACACAATTGAAATGAAAGGAAAAAAAACATTGAAACTAACTATAACTATAAGAAGAATGTGCTTGTTTGTGTGAAACAAGCGTGTGTCATAGACACGTGTCTGTATGTGCGTGTGTGAGAGAGTTCCAAAGTCAACAGAGGACCAAGAAAGAGAACCCGCCTAGTCGGCAGCGTTCTTTATCGACGTCGACTACATCTGGAAGCAAAGATTAAACAGACTAAAAAGAGCAAGAAAATGTGATTGCCGTTTTATAGACTTAAAGAGCGCCCGCTAGACGGCGCTTTGGCGAAGCCAAGTGAGATAACCTACATAACTAAGCTTATCATTCGGATTCCGATGAATGGAGTGCACCGAATAATTAGTTCCGAAATAGGAAAAGAAAAGTGTGGCTTCGTTAAAGACGCTGGGACAAGAAAGTAAATTTATGATCAGAATGATATGAGAACGAGCAATACAAATGTAGACATACGTCTACCTATGTTTCACAGATTACGAAGAAATACTTGATAAGGTACGATATTTTTATACGAAGACTGACAATGCTTCAAAATTCATTGAAGATAAATCCAAGGTTGGAATATCTAAAGCAGTTTCAACAACTTATGCGACGTGGCTGGAATCATACTTATTATAAAACCCAGGTTGTGTGTGTGTGAGTGTGTGTCTGTACGTTTATATATTGGATCGAAATTTCCTACATTTTTCAACCGAATTCAACAAAACTTCACAGCACTACGTAAAATTACCTTGCGGTAGTTCTGACAGCGGAAAAAATTGGAAAAACATAATTGTTTTTGCACGAAATCAATTTGAAAACACGATTAAGAGGCATCGAGTAGACAGTTCAGAATCAATAATATTGCAGATTTTCTTTGGATATTCTCAAGAACTTCTAAATACAGAGGAAAAGCATGAAAGAAGATGCGACAACAAAATTCAAAGAATGGACGAATGGTAAACTCATAAAGAAATAGATAGATTCTGGCGTGAAGAATTTTCTAGAAAGACACAGTGAAACAATTTTCCTAGCAGCGGAGTTAGCAATTGATTCAATACAAAACGTGAGATCTCCATTGCGCAGTGGGTCACTCTCTTGGAGGTTAGTATCAGCCATGCTGATGGAAGTCAAAATTGTTCTCTGACGGTTAAAAAGAGAGCGTTTTCGTTTTGAAATAAAATATTCGTTTCTTGCCCCAGTTAACAATAGATTGAGGAGATTTTTTAGATCAGTTGTGAATTTTACTTTATCGAACCTAAGTTGTGACTGACCTTTCAACCACCCAATGAATATACATGAACATTGTCAAATTTAAAAGCCTTGATAAACCAATGATATCATTGCTCTTGTATATAAACACTTGCAACAAAATAAATCCTTCTATTTTGTATTGATAAAGTACCTCACAGGACAAAGCCCGTCGGCTAAGAATAGCTTTTACTCTTGTCTTTTTTTATTCATATATATATATATATATATATATATATATATATATATATATATATATATATATATATCCAAGAGGATAAAATCCAGGTAGAGCTCAATGTACAGTACTGAACAAGAATACAATGTAAAAGGCACAAACACTAATACTCCATATATATATATATATATATATATATATATATATATATATATATATATATATGTGTGTGTGTGGCTGTGTATATATACATATATATATATATATATATATATATATATATAAAACCTAAAGAGCCAGGAACAACCTACCTAGGTTTCAACTAAACGGATCTTCAGGGTAATATATATATATATATATATATATATATATATATATATATATATATATATATATATATATATATATATGTGTGTGTGTGTGTGTGTGTGTATATATATATATATATATATATGGGAGTATTAGTGTTTGTGCCTTTTATATTATATGTAGTGCTGTAGATATATATATATATACAGAAAATAAATTAATTCGGTCGAGCACTGTGAGGAAAAAGCACGTATTTGTAAACATTGAGTATTACTGCTAATAATGCAAGACTCTCTCAACGGATTGATTCCTCTATGTCACATGGAAGCGATATTCAATTCTTTTATTCTAACAATTCTTTAATTTCAGGCTGGAACATAAAAGCAACATTAATTGCGGTCTGAAACATAGATATAACATTAATAAAACAATTAATATGATTAAAAGAACTTTAATAATAGAATATTAATATGCAACAAAAATTTAGTTTTTCGTAATGACTTTTTGATATTGTCTAAGGACTTTGTCGACACCCTGTATAAATAAATCCACTGGTTATTTTGAACTATTGATTTCCCTGGGCGCCTATCATATTCTGCAAAATTTTCAAAATTTCGAACCAAACCATTTATTCAATTCAAGAAGCTAGATTATTCTGTTTCCGCTCTCCGTGCCCGGGGATAATCTCGTATGCGTTAATTCTGGGTTTCTCTTACCTCCGGGCGACCGCAGAAATAATCAGTCACATTTTTTAACTGAAACTGTTCGCAGTACGCATGCGTAATGGTACTAGCAAATCGCATATAATAAGAAAATAATATATGGCGAGTTTACGACGCATAGAACATCTATCATATAAGGTTTAATATACTTATCATAGCTTTGTTTCGACAAGGACGATTTCGAGGCTTACGGCGATATCTCGTTGAAACACCGCTTCCCATACTATTACCGAAGTTAAGAACGTCGAACCTCGTCATTACCTAGATGGGTGACTGCTTGGGTATACCTGTGCTGTAAGCCTGGGCGTGTGGGTTGTGTAATGGATAACGGCTCGGAATTTGAATCGGAAATAATCTTGGGAAATGTATGAATCTATATCTTCTCCCACAACTATGGGTTAATTAGTAGGACGTGTATCAGTAAATCTTTATTATCTTCAAAATATTCTTACAATCTAAAAATATTTTCTGGCTTGAAATCACCTGAAAAGGGTTTATAAATCGTTAAAAAATAAATTAAGCAAAATAATTGTTCTATTTTCTTATTAGTCTATGTTGTAATTACATATTGTGATTAATTAACAA